TTTCCTGTCCAAAGTGAGGATGCCATAAAGACATTCTCTTTGCCATTCTCCTAGTGATGAAGAAGTGCCTATGCCATTCTAGCCTCTCCTTACTGACTCTAATAAGAGACTATAGCTTTGCGCCGACCTATCCATCAGGTATAAATATGTGGCAACAACTGAGAGTCATTGTGAGGACAAGTGAATCGAAGGACAATTTCTCAGATATATCCACATCTCCAGAGAGCTCACACTTTGGTCTGCCTGGATCTATTCTTGCAAACCATAGTTTTTAAAAGAAATGTCAATTATATGAATAGCAACGGACAAAAAACATGTGTATTCTTAGCACAGTAACTGAAGAACTACAAATTAAAATAATGAGAAACCATTTTTCAATCTGACAAAGATGTCATTTTCACATGGGAAAAACACAGAGTGGCATTACCAATTATGCAGGTGGTAACATATCTTTTTTGTAATCTGGCAATTAGACACCTAGAAACAATATTGGTAATTTAGTTTTTATAGATAATTAAAATGTACAGAGTTCTTTCAGGAAAAAGACTGACATGCAGAAAGTCTAAGAATCTGATTAGTATCTCAATTATAATATAATCAAAATAAAAATGTTACTGGGCACCCACAATGGAATTAGACAGTTGCTAATCCAATAAACATACTCTGTGAGGAAATACAAGCACAAATAAAGTCTTGAGCTGTTCACAGTCTACTGGAGGAGGAGGAAAACAATGAAAATACAAGGAGTATTACACTAAAGGTTTGGAAAAAAATATTCTGAAAGCATCAAAGTGTATAGGGCATAATGAAATGGTCAAAGAGAAAATAATAGACATGCTGGTTTTTGAAGGCTCAAGGTTTTATCAGGCTGAGAATAAGAAAAGTAAAGTGAATTATTTACAGAAAATATTACATGTGCAAAAACACAGAAGATATCATGGTTATGGCTTTCTCAGGAGTCCATAATAGCATGTTTTATGAAGAACTAACGGGGCATGACATCAAAAAGCAGGCTGGGATCAGACAGTTACATGATAAATCTGTATTTCAGAAAGACAGTTTGTCAGTAACATACAAAAAACCAAAAAAAATTGAGAGATAATGGATCTCTCACATCTCTGCAGGACCTGCATCAGATTTCATTTTCAACTACCCTATCTTAAGGATGCTTGTATAGCAAAAAATTTTAAAAGATGAAGATGACATTGCCTTCAGTTTAAAGGGTAGGCAGATATCTAAGAACCTCTCTAAAAAGACTGGAGTTTCTTTAGTTTGGGATTCCTCCATTATGATGCAAACTCTCTGTGAGCACAACTTCCACCTGGGCCACCATCACGCTGCCCCTCCAGACCTCAGAGGCAAGTAGAACCAAGGGGATAATAAAGCATTGTTTCCTGCTGTGCCTGGAGAAATGAATTCCTTTGTCTCTGACCCAGGAAGTTCTTGTCTTTGTCAGCACCTATGAAACTGGCAGTCTAATTTGTTAGCTTGCAAGTAGGGTAAAATCCAAGGCATTTCACAGTTACAGACAAAAAGAAGAGAACAGGCAGAACAGACCAATTACCAGGCTATGTAGTGTTACAGGTGAAAGACAAGGATCTCAACCTTAAGAATTCCAGGGAAAGAGATAGAAGAAACATTTTTGGAGGCAAAATTGGCAAGTACTAGGAGGGAGTAGGTATGAGAAGTGTGGGAAAGTGAAGGTTGGCAGGGGTCCTCAAACTTTTTAAACAGGGGGCCAGTTCACCGTCTCTCAGACCATTGGAGGGCCAGACTGCGGGCCCTGGGACAAGTTGGCTGCTAAGCAAGGACAGGCTGTGGCACCAAAAACACCGGGCGGTTGGATAAATGTCCTCGGCGGGCCGCATGTAGTCTTTGGGCTGTAGTTTTTCTTTTTTTTTTTGAGACAGAGCCTCAAGCTGTCCCCTGGGTAGAGTGCTGTAGCATCACAGCTCATAGCAACCTCCAACTCCTAGGCTCAAGCGAGTCTCCTGCCTCAGCTTCCCAAGTAGCTGGGACCACAGGCGCCCGCCACAACACCAGGCTATTTTTTGGTTGCAGCCGTCATTGTTATTTGGCGGGCCCAGGCTGGATTCGAACCCGCCACCTTAGGTGTATGTGGCTGGTGCCTTAGTCACTTGAGCCACAGGTGCTGAGCCTGGGCTGTAGTTTGAGGACGCCTGGTTGAGAGTGTAACTATAATGTCTCTAATTGGATGGTTATGTCATTAATGGAGAAGGATATAGAAGAAGAGAGAATTGATTACAATATGAAAAACCAGAGAAGGTGAGATGAATACATAGGGAATTACAAGGATATGCACATAGAGCAGTGATTTTCGACCAGTCTGCCGTGAGAGGATCTTAGATGTGTCATGAAACTTGTTAAAAATCATTAATTAAATTATTTCTAAAAGAAGTTCAAAGCACAGTAAAAATCTTTCTTTACTCCTTTTTTTTTTTTGATCAGCATAATTTAAATATGCCTTGGAAGTGTAACTGTAAGTGCAGGTGTGCCATGAGACTAAAAACGTCAAAAAACACTCATATGGAGCTATCTACTGGAACGTGGGGAATAAGTGTTTGTAGTTCCAGACAGAGGTCCGGAATAGAGAAACAGCATTTGGAAGGAGCAATTCTCAAAAGAGAATCTCAAACTCTCCTGAAAGACCTTGAGAACTTCCCAGAGGATCCACATGGTAAACTCAATTTTCACAAAAATACTAAGATATTATTTGAATTTTTTCACTGTGTTGACATTTGCTTTCACAATACAAATTCAATGGTAGGTAAAACTGCTGGTACCTAAGGAATAATAAAGACAGTGAAATCAAGCTAGCACTAGCACTCACTGTATTTTTTACAACCCTGTGCTCGTACTGGAAAGATACCAATTTAATTTTTGAAGAAGCAGCAAAATGTTGATCTTTATGATATACTGAGCTTCAAATAAACATCTATTTAATATTCTGTGTGAGAAAATGGAAGTATGAATGACAATGGTTTCCTGAGGAAAAGCATTTGAGTTTTTATATTTGATTTCTATAATTAATTTGTTTTAACAGCTTTATAGAGATTTGAATTACACAAAATTATCTCTACATATTTCAGGTGTAAAATTTGTCCTATGTATATAGTTGATATATAATTAATTTTTAATGAATCATTCCATTGGTGTCACATGTAAGAAATCTGTCGACTTAATTTAATTCAGTTTTGTTTTAGTCTCACACATCTGTTGTCAGCCTTTTCTTTAAGTATTTTTGTATCATTAATGTTATGGCAAACACTGCTTTTATTAAACTTCAATTTCGAATTTTTTGTTGTTTGCATAGTATACACTATATGTTTTAAATATTGATCTCATATTCTGTAACCCTATTACTATTGAGAAAGCGTCTCACTCTGTTGCCCAGGCTAGAGTGTTGTAACAGCCGCCTAACTCACACATCAACTTCAAATTCGTGGGTTCAAGTGATCCTTCTGCCTCAGCCTCCCAAGTATCTGGATCTAAAGGCATCTGCCACAATACCTGGTTAATTTTTCTATTTTTAGTAGAGTTGAGGTCTTGCTCGGGTTGGTCTCAAACTGCTAAACTCAAGGGATCCTCCCACCTTGGCCTCCAAGAATGCTAGGATTATAGGTGTAAGCCACCACACCTGGCCTCAATTATTAATTTTTTTTTTTTGAGACAGAGCCTCAAGCTGTACCCCTGGGTAGAGTGCTGTGACATCACAGCTCACAGCAACCTCCAACTCCTGGGCTCAAACGAGTCTCCTGCCTCAGCCTCCCAAGTAGCTAGGACCATAGGCGCCCGCCACTACACCTAGCATTTTTTGGTTATAGCCATCATTGTTGTTTGGTGGGCCCGGGCTGGATTCAAACCTTAGGTGTATGTGGCTGGCGCCTTAGCCACTTGAGCCACAGGCGCCGAACCACAATTATTAATTTTAATACATATTTGCAGATTCTATAGGATAATGTACATAGATAATCACGTCCTTGAAAAATACTAACAGATTTACTTTTGCTTTTTTAATCTACATGCTTTTCTTTTTCTTGACTGATGTCACTGCCTAGAATCAAGTACAATGTTGAACATAAGTAGCAAAAGTAGGTATCTTTGTTTGTTAATGGAATATATTGAGTATGGAAAGATATCCTTGTCTTATTCCTGTTCTTAGTGAGAAAGCATTCAGTATCTCACCAGTAAATTTGTTATCCATTGGTTCTTTACAGATTATTATTGATTATCCATTGGTTCTTTACAGCTAATTATTAGGTTGACAATGTTCTCTATTTCCAGTGTGCAGAGTGATTTTAGGAGGAATGGACGTTCGATTTCATAAAATGCTTTTTCTGCATCTTAAGAGATAAACAGAGGACTTTTCCTTAATCCTTATTTCAAGGATTCAAGGATTCAAGGTAAAGCTATTATGTTTTACACCATCTTGTTAAAAAGTGGAAGCCAGGCTGGGTGTGGCACATGCCTGTAATCCTAGCCCTTTGGGCAGCCTAGGAGGGAGGATTGCTTGAACTCAGGAGGTAGAGATCAGCCTGAGTAAGAGTGAGACCCTGTCTCTAAAAATAGCCAGGCATTGTGCTGGGCACCTATAGTCCCATTTACTTGGGAGGCTGAGGCAAGAGAATCACTTGAGCCCAAGAGTATGAGGTTGCTATGAGCTATGATGCCACACCACTCTACTGAGGGCAACAAAGTGAGACTCTGTCTCGTCAAAAAAAAAAGGGGGGGGAGCCCCAAATTCCTTTAGTTTTAATGAATGAAAAATTTACTTGGTGAACACAATAACTATGCAAATACATATACAGCTCATATTTGTTAAGGAATTCTTCTAACTCTTTATTAATGAATTAGCAGACTCCAGATAAAATGGCTAACCTCAGTCTAAATGGCTATTAATCCTGATAGCAAAATATAGCACTATGGTCCAATATACTGTACCAGTAATAGTACTTCAGATAGAAATTTGAAGTAGACTAGTGAATTCTGACAGAGCTAGAAAGAATAAATATGAAGCCCACTAAAATAATAACATTTAGCATGGTTATATTGGAAGTAGTTGATATGTGACATTATTATTATTTTTTTAAATGGATTTATACTTTGTTTTATCTGTCAAACGTTGGAGAATAGTCAAAACACTCCAAAAGCCCTTCTGGGTGCCACATCACTGTTTAAGTTCCTTCCTCTTCTTCCTCCTCTTCTTCATCCTCCTCCTCCTCCTCATCTTCATCAGAGCTAAAGGTACCATCAGGCAGGCTGTAGATACGGATGACCTGCTTGTTGGGGTCCTTGAGGATGAGGTATTTGCCTTCCTCCAGCTTCATGCAGATGTTGATGACACAGCGCAGAATGCCCCAGGCATTCTCCACACGTAGGTTGATCTGGCTGGCAAACTCATGGGGCTTGAACTGCTAGGTGCCCAGGATGACGTGGCATGAAGAGTCTTTCACATGGTATCAAGACACATAACCGAGCTTGAGGTACTCAGATCCAGCCAGCAAAGCACAGCAGGTCCATCGGGCCAGCTTGTAGCTGTCGTTCTTTAGCTCAGTGGCAATGACGGCTCCTCGCTTAGAGTCTAGCTTCTGATGCCAGTCAACACCGTTACAGTGCCTGGAATCCCACTCATTGAGTGTCTTCATGTTGATGAAGGACCCTTCCCCATTGGCTCCAGTCATGACACCATCATGCTCACAGTGAACAATAAGGTCAATATCATCCCCCAGCTTCCACCTGCAATACCGGTATGCAACAGATGCAATCTCATTCTTATCCATGTCGTCTTCCACAAATGGGTTTGGGTTGGGGAAATTGTATCTTTCCTTCCCCATTCTCAGGCACTGTGCTGGGAGAAATTGTGGTTGATGTAGGTTGCTTCCATGGCCAGACTGCGGGGTGAATTGAAGGAATTACCTTCATCTTGAGGGGGCTCACTGGCTGTCTCACTCACTGTCAGGAGGTCAAAGTCTGAGTTGTCCCTCTTATCAAAGAAGAGCCTGGACCCAACTCTCTGGACAACAATATCCTAGGAATACACTGAGCGGGTACAGCTCATAGTGTGGCCAGGATGGCATCGGTGGCAAACACATTCCCCTGAGTTTTTGCCAGCTTCAGGATGACAGGGTTATCTGTGGTGGTGACAGTGTGGAAGATGCGCTTGATGCTCCACAGCGGCTTCTCGCTCCTCGTGGTCATGTGGTCAAAGGCTTTATCGCTTTATCATAGTATTCTAGGGCCCCACAACACTCCATGTCCTGCGGCTCTGACACTTCCAGATAATGCATCTTCATCAACTGAGGAGAATCCATTTCTTCTTTCACTTCCCAGTTACTATGAACTTCAACTGAAGAGTCTTGAAGTTTCTGTGATTTTTGATCCCGTTTTTGTCTAACCCCAAATTGCTCTGGAATTTTTTCTGTAGTCGTATGTGTTCTCTCTCCTTCTGCTTAGCACTCTTAGGCAGGGCTTGGAGGTTGAACTGCAACATGTTCTGCCAATCTTTGTCTCTGCGATGGGTCCGCTGTGCAAATCTCATCCGATTCCGCTGGTAGGCAGTCTTCTGTGTTCATGTAGTATCCACCAGTTGAAAGCTAGTTTCATTCTCCTTATGGAAACAAGCATATTGACTTCCACCACCAAATTGAGAGGAGTACCTATTTGTGTACCTCTTATCTTGGTATGTGGCTCCTGTCCAGTCTGCAACCTTTCCTAGCCGATCACCTTTGCTGAACGGCTGGTAGGGCATATCCCGAAACTGCTCGGGAACGGCACAGAGACCCCAGCCTGAGGGATTGTCCTGGATCACAGGTGTCATGAACTTTGCCATCTTCCAAAACCTACAACGGCCTTGACCGGCCAGGATGGCAAGAGATGTTCCGAGCCAGAGACCACGTTACCAGATACACTCCATAAGCCGGGGCAGGAGAGAACTGATGTATGACATTATTAAGAGATAATGCCACATACCCTCTATATACTAAATGTTCATACGAAAAGAAATTCAGAAACGTTAAGTTAAATAAAAATTCAAAAACCCCGCTAGGCTAGGGCTTTATCAAACTATAGAAGACTCTGGTCTGCAGTTCTAATGTTTTAAGAAGTTGACACAAACAGTGAATTAGTGAATACAGAATCATTGCTGCTGGAGAAATTGTAGGGTTAGGTTCCTGTAATCCTCTGCCACATTTTCGTCAACCAATCGACACCAATATGTAACTTTTAAAAATGTATGCTTCTCTTTATAGACACCTTGTTTTATTTATTTACATCTATATTTACCTATATTTAACCTTTTACACAAGTACTGATAACTTCATATTTTATTCTTCAACATTGAACTCACCTTCGACAGCACTGTTTGACTCATGCCTGAGTAAAGTTTGCCTATCATGGGTATTTACTCTGCAGGTCATATCACAGTCTTTTTGCGCTCAGAAAAACGAGACTATATATCAGCACTTTGTTTGAGGGTCATTTTAAACAGAAAAATCACCCAAAAAGAGAACAAACATGTGAAGAACACAGCACTAAACACACATCGTAAAAGACACTGTTTCAGCTAAAATAAGAAGGCAGAGAGTGGCCTTCCTTAACCTCAGCTAGGAAGGTGCATACAAGGCGAACCAAACTTTCTGTCATCCCGCATGTGTCTGTGAATGACTGCGCTGTGAGTGTTGGTTTTGAATTTACAACAAAAATTTAGTGAGTAGGTAAACTCACAAACACAAACCCTACAAATAACAAGGATCAACTGTACATGTACTGGGATCCACCAGGGCCTTTATCAGCACTTTGTAACACTGGTTCTTAACCATTTTTTGAGTTTTAGATTCTTCTGGAACTATGACAAAAGGTTATGTATCCTCAAGGGAAAAATGCACACATTTTAAAAAAGATAATTTCGGTACATTTATGGAACTCCTTAAGTCCATTCCACTGATAATCCATGAATCACAGTTTTAAAATGCCTGCTTTACAGGTTTTAGGCAAAGAATTTGTAAAGCTTCCTTTGATGACCATTTTAGATTTAAACCACTGGTAAATTCTTTACATTTAAGAATAGTCACTGCTGTACATTTTCTGAGTGCATAGTGTAACAATAAGGGTTTACCACCTAAATAAAAGGTATAGTTTTATAAAGGATAAAATGAATTTTCAGTTTTCATGCTTTCCTGCTTTTCATTCCTTTTACAGAGGACTATTTTAAAGAATCTACAGAACATAAGTAGAAAAGCAAGATATGCATTAATTTAGAGAGCTCTTCTTGCTTCTTAAAATGCTCCAATTTTGATACATGAACATGAAAAATGTGGGGTTTTATAGCACATTGATATTTATATCAGCTTTATAATTTCATTTGGTTCTCTACATATAAAATTTCTAAAAATGTTCATTACAAATCCAGTTATCTCTTTAGTCTCAAAGACAAATTTTTTGAAAGACTGCTAAAAACACTTTATTATCAGTTTTGCAACTGAGACATTAACCTGCCAATTATTTGGGAAGTATTAAGAAGAAAGCAAGAAAAAAAAAAAGAAATATTTTTTAAAAAAGGAAAAGTAAACAGGAAAATGAGTATCAGCAATTTGTGCAATGTTAATCAATGAAAGCTAGCTAATTGGCAAAAGAAATTATACCCTTCTTATAACTGTATTTTAGTATATAAGGAACTACTACGTGGGATGTTCTGTATTTAAAATTTCAAAAGGTACTGAATGTTTTAGTACAAAGATTAAAAAATATATACTATATTTTTAAGTATAGAGGGTCTAGATGCTGATACTACTCAAATAATTTTGATAAGACTAATAATAGAGAACTTCAAAGATCAAAATGTGGTTCTGCATTGATAATCATTAAACCTGACAAGGTTCTGGATCTGATCATTTAAAAGATATTTCTAGGTTAGAAGCAAAAATCAAATTTAAAAAAAAGGCACGTAAGTTGAATATCATTTCTCCAAAGAAGACTACAAGTGGTCAACAAGCGCTGGAGAAGTTACAATGTCATTAGTCATTAGGGAAAGGCAACTCAGAACATAACAAGATATAACTTTATGTCCATTGAGTTGAACATAATGAAAAAAATGGAAAATAGCAGTGTGTGAGGATGTGCACAAACTAGAACCCTCATATGTTGCTGGTAAAAATTTAAATTGTTCCAGATGTTATAGGAAACAGATCAGCAATTCCTGAAAAAGTTAAATATAGATTACCATATGACCTAGCAATCACACTAGTCATTTCTGAGTGCATTCAATATATTATTACATTATTATAATAATAAATGTATTATTTCCATACAACAGAATATTATTCAACCATAAAAAGAAATGAAGTGCTAAGATTAACAGATGCAACAACATTGATGAATCTCAAAAACGTGATTCTAAATGAAAGACCAGACAGAAAAGGTCATATTTTGTAATGATTCTATGGACATGAAACCTTCAGAATAGGTAAATTCATAGAAAGAAAAAGCTAATCAGTGGTAGCCAAGGGCTGGGGACCTGGGAGAATAAGAAACCACTGCTTAATGGGTATGGGTTTTCCCTCTGGGGTGATGAAAACTTCTTAGAACTATTATATCACATGGTGAATGGAATAAACGCCATTAAATTGTATACTTCAAAATGATTAATTTGATATTATATTAATTTTATGTCAATTAGAAAATTTTAAAGGCTTTTTTGGGGGGCAAATATTAATGTCAACCAATGAAGCATCATAAGTGACAAAATTTGTCTTTTAGTAGGATTTTAAATACCTTCCATGGAAGACAGATTGAAAGAGAGCCAGATTGGCTGTAAGGAGAATGGAGAAAAATTGTTCTGTGATCTAAAAGAGAAGTTAATAAATTGGAACAAGGGAGCAAAAATAAAGATTGCAGGAAAAGGTGATAACTGGGATAGAATTTGCAAGACTCCAGGAAGATAAAGGAGAAAAAATTGTGAATAGTGCAGATGACACCCCAGCTTAGTGCTAGAATCCACTAGAATTCATTTGCTAAGAGGCTGTGAGAACATACACATACCCCAAGCATGTGATAGCTGTGGGCTAAAGATTTAAAGGAAAGAAAGGTCGGAAGAGTTTTAAGAGGCACTGTCAGTTGTGAAAAAGAAAGAAGTAAAACCTGAAAGGAGGGGTATTACAGAGGCTAAGCAAGACAGAAATAGTTTCAAAGTGATGGTAGGATCGACGCTGACAGATGCCATAGATAGGTCAAATAACGTAAGACCTGAAAAGTGTTCAGTAGATCTGGCAACTGGAAAGTCATGGGTGACTCCCACCAGCTGGATTTCAGAGAAGTGGTGAGTGCAACTGAGTGGACAAGGGACAAAGGACTGTGAACTGCACTGTTAAGAAATTCAGCTAAGGGTGGCGCCTGTGGCTCAGTGGGTAGGGCACCGGCCCCATATACTGAGGGTGGTGGATTCAAACCTGACCGCAGCCAAACCGCAACAAAAAAATAGCTGGGTGAAGGCGCCTGCAGTCCCAGCTATTCGGGAGGCTGAGGCAAGAGAATTGCCTAAGCCCAGGAGTTGTAGGTTGCTGTGAGCTGTGAGCTATGATGTCACAGCACTCTACTGAGGGCAAAAAAGTGAGACTCTGTCTCTAAAAAATAAAAAAGAAAGAAAGAAAGAAATTCAGCTATAAAGTGGATAGAGGATAGATAAGCAAATGTCAGAGAAACATTTTATTTATTTTATATTGGGATGGGAGCATATTTATAACAAAGTTTATGATGATCGGGGTGGGGATAATATCTGAGATTATACTCAAGGCATGAAAAGAAAACATAGTTGAGGGGTTTTAAATATAGAGGGAAACCAGGGAAACACAGCACTCTACTCAAATGAGTTTTATTTCCCTTTGTGCACATGTGTGCTCATTAGTTTCAATTTGATAGTGAGTATACATGGTATTTTTCTATTCTTATGATAGTTCACTTAGGAGACTAGGCGCCATTTCCATCTAGATTGTTATAAAAGGTATTCATCTTTTTTTAGGGTTAATTCCACACCTTTGCAATTGTGAATTGTGCTACAATTAACATTAGGGTCCAGGTGTCTTTTTGATAAGACTTCTTTTCCTTTGTATAAGTACCTAGTAGTGTAATTGCTGGATTAAATGGCAGTTCTACTTTTAGTTCCTTGAGGAATCTCCACACTGTTTTCCATATAGGTTGTACTAATCTGCAGTCACATTTATAGTTTTTGGACTTTTTAATAAAAGCCATTCTAAGTGGGGTAAGGTGATATCTCACTGTGGTTCAAATTTGCTTTTTTCCAATGATTGGTGACGTTGAACATTTTTTCATATGTTTCTTGGACATTTGTCTTCTTTTGAGAAGCATTTATCCATGTCTTTTGGATAATAGTCAAGAGAAGAATGTTACTATTAATGAAATCTTGATGTTTTTCAAAAGATATATGAAATCAATAACCCTTCTTTAGACTAAGAAAAAATATCAGAACCAAATAAATAACCACAAAGGTGAAAAGGAAGCATTACAACTGATACCACAGAAATACAAAGGGTCAACAGAGACTATTTATGAACAACAAAACTATCTATGCCAACAAAATGAAAAATCTACAAGAAATGGATAAAGCCCTGGACAACCAAACGAGATTGAATTGTGAAGAAATAGGAAATCTGAACAAACCAATAATAAGTAACAAGAACAATGCAGTAATACAAAATCCTCCATCAGGTAAAATCCCAGGACCTGATAGAGACAATGCTGGATTACACCAAGCATTTACAGAACTAATACCAATTCCACTCAAACTATTTCTAACTTTTTTTTTTTTTAATAGAGACAGAGTGTCACTTTATCGCCCCGGGTAGAGAGCCGTGGCGTCACACAGATCACAGCAACCTCCAACTCCTGGGTTTAGGTGATTCTCTTGCCTCAGCCTCCTGAGTAGCTGGGATTACAGGCACCTGCCACAATGCCTGGCTATTTTTCTTGTTGCAGTTTGGCCAGGGCCGGGTTTGAACCTGCCACCCTTGGTATATGGGGCCAGCGCACTACCCACTGAGCCACAGGTGCTGCCCACACTCAAACTATTTCAAAAAGCTAAAGAAAAAGGAATACTTCCTAACTCATTCTGCAAGGAAAGCATTACCCTACTAACAAAACACAGACAAGACACAACAACAAACTACAGACCAATACCCCTACTGAACATAGATACAAAACTCCTCAGCAAAATACTAGCACAAGGAAAAGATCATTTCCTTTGATCCAATGGGAGTCACTTCCGGTATGCAAGGATGGCTTGACATATACAAATCAACAAATATGCTACATCAGATCTACAGAATCAAGGACAATAAGCATACGATCCTTTCAACAGAAGCTGAAAAAACACTGATATAATTCAACATTATTTCATGATAAAAACCCTCAATAAATTGGGTATAGAAGAAACATATCTCAGTGAGATAAAGGTCATGTATGACAATCCCACAGTGAATTCAAAATAACACTGCAAGTCCTAGCCAAAGGAATTAGGCAAAATGAAAATGTAGGGGGGATACAGATCAGAAAGGAAGAAGTCAAATTATATTTTTTGGATAATAAGTCAACATGATCGTATACAGTAGCACCTCCCTAGTTGCCTCCTTATTTTGACCACCTCCTTAGAGTTGACCTAATTTACATACACTAGACATGCACCACATGTACATGTCAGTACATTAGGCCTAGTTTTTCATGTTGAGCAACTCTGCATGTTGACCAGTCTCTGGGGTGGTCAACTTTATAGAGCTTCCACTGTATTTAGAAAAACCTAATAATTCCACTAAAAAACGAACAAAATTTTAGTAAAGTTAGAGGATATAAAATCAACATACAAAAATTGTTAGCAGTTCTACATGCTAACAATGGTCTGAAAAATAAATCAGAATCTCATTTACAGTAGTTACCAAAAATGTAAAATACCTCAGAAATACATTTAACCAAGAAGGTGAAAAATCTCCACAAGGATAACTATAAAACTATAAAAGTAAATTCTAAAGAAAACATAAAAAAAGATAACAAATAGCAAATAAAAGAATTGGAAAGATGGTGGAGGGAACGATTCAGTCTGGAAAACATTATTTTGATTCTGCATTAATCAGTCTGATTTTATGCAAGTAACAGTTCCTATCCAGCACTTATTCTGCTATTATCCATGTTTCTTGTGGCATTACATGCAATTTTAAATAACTATGATTCAAAATATTATAAAAACTAGTTAATATTTACAGATTATGTTATGGTGACAAAATTTTTAACAAACTAATCATGTTTCATCTGTAATTAAAAATCTTGCTATATTTATTAATGGATCTCTAGTTGTATTTGTAATTAGAATTTATCAATGATAGCTTATTAAAAACAATCATACCCTTTTGTTTTTCTCCTATAGAGAAACTTGTA